AGTGAAAATAAAATATGATTATCCTCGCCACATCCCGTAAATTTTTCATAGTTATAACTGCATAGCCTAATTTTCATTTCCCCCCCACTCGAATAAAACTCGTATGTCAAGTGGATACATTTCAGACTGGAGGTAATTAGGCACGAATAAGGAATAAAAGAAATCAATCTTATGATTGCAAGCATATTAGCTTCCGTCCAGCCTTTCACTTGTCACCAGAATCCTTGCACAGTCCACATTGTCCATACGAAACAGTGGCTTCCATGTAAAATTGGCCAGTGAGTTGTCCTACAAAGTGCATAGAATTTTATGGTTTTTTAGCCTTTTCCATTCCTACTTAGAAGCGCAACATTTACCCCTTCGGTGGGCAAAAATTCTTACGCATCGCCTTTGGATCTGACCCTCAAAAAAGATTTACCGTAGGAAACTAGAAAAGTTATAAAGCAAATTTAGTTAGCACACTGAGTGTCTTTTCCTCTAAAGTGTTGGAACGAATAACCTACATAATAACATTATCAATCTGCTGTTGAATGTGACAAGCGAAGCGGTAGGGTAGCTCAAATCATCAGCTCCATGAAGGCGAGTCCACTCAGCTGTGGGTTGTTCAACTGATGTCAGGGGAAGACATTCAACGGTGAACCGCTACCCTGAATTTCCTCCAGCCACCACCACGCATCCACTGAAGTAGGCGATTCCCGGCTTTGCGCGTCCCTCTAACATCGGGTTGAGCTTAATTCACCGCCATCCGTTCTCGTCCAAAGGATCTTCTAACAACATTTCAGCAGAATTTAAAAGCCCTCCTTTAAAATGTCCACCAACAACTACAGTTCTGATGTCTGGGATATTTAAGGCCAAAGGAAAAGCAAGTGCTGATGGCATATCTGGGAGTCGAGTGAACCTAAAATGGGTGACCTAGCTTTATTGAACATACTTGCCGGTAGCGGTATCTACTTGTTCGCATGTAGGAACAAAGTCAACTTCCGATTAGCCACCAAAAATGAAGATTGATTCATATCTCGCCACTACCGAATACCGCCAGCGTTTCTCCCCTTTGAAAGGGATTTTGGAAACGCGGCCATTTCAGTAATTCATGGACCAAAATGGACTTTCCTCGTTCCAATAATTGAAGGCATAATAATTGCCCAATTTACCATTCAGTACAGTCAATGCATCATGGCGTATAACTTCAACATTAGACGATTCGTGCGGTTGCAGCTGTGGCACAGACTTCAAAATGCACGATGTCGAAGTTGTATTCACTCCAACGATCATAAGCACCTCCCTAGATATCTTCAAAGAGTTAGCATGGTGCGGGCGTACAGAGCCTCATTAAGATTATGATAAAGGCAATTCTACAGTGTCAGATCATAAAAATTGGAGAACTTATCGAATCGGTTACTCGGATCTTGAAAGATTGGTCACGGTGTTAGCAGAAATGATCTATGTACTTGCAACGTGATAGACAGTTGGAGGAAGGCTGAGGGGCCTCCTTGATCGCGTTGCCATCTGACTTTATTCCAGGGCTGGGCGAAGTATCTCCTGAGAAATCGTAAGAAAGAAGCGTAATTGGTGCCTCGAGAAGAAGTGGTGAATAGAGTGTCATCTTTTAACTCAAGTCCTATCTATGATCCCAAAATTAATTAATCCATCCTCCTGCATTTTAGCATCATTCGTGCATCCAACCATTTCCTGTTCACTCATCAATCTCACATTCATCCATCATCATTCGTTCATTCATTTATTCCTCCATCCATCCCTCAATCCGACAATCTGATCTGCATCTCTTCATCACGCAGGCATTCATTCCTCCTCCAATTTGTGTGCCTTCATGCATCAAATAATCATCTAACCAAATTTTTCATCCCTTGCACCCACGTCCTTCAAGCTATTCACTCCTTCACAGTGCTTACCTGCAGCAACCAATTTGGAATATTTACTCACAAATTTCCAAATTTCCGAACCCGATGAAGAGAGCTTGGGCAAGTTAATCTTGGAAATCATTTTCGTAAATGCCTCTGTTATTTCCACCGCATCAAAGCCCCTACGTCCTGCATCCAGCCATATGGAAATCGCTTGAAACTTGGTTTCCTCACTCATACCATCTTACCGTTTCCTCTCCAGCAGGACCTCAAAGTACTCCGCTGTTGTCTGCATCAGCATCCCACCTCGCAAACACAGAGCTTCGAAATGCCTCTCAATCAGTGGTATACACAATTCCACCAATTCACGATCCAGTGTCGCATTGGCAACTGACCACACTTCTGCCGCGTTGTCTAGAGAAGTCCTTCAAACAGTCAATTGTAAGTCTCAGAAAAGCTTCTCCTACTTCGTTCTTAGAAAATCCACACACCATTC